GTTTGACTGTCATCTTACAGCGAGTTCAAAGTACATTAGACCAAAATTTACAGGACCATCGCCAAATATTCCTGAAAAGGCATTTCAAAAATTAAGCAGTATTTTAATACAGTTTAATCCAGTAGTTACTCAACACAATATTATTTCAGAATTGCAACATTTTAAATTGTCATGGAATATTTTAAAGGAAAATATCAGTAAAACTTTTATAAAATTAAACAAAAATGAACATTCTACTGATGATCAAGTAGAAACTAATAAAGATGTGATTTTATCCTCTTACTACATTGCTTGCAAAAATTGGCTCTATTTGTTGTTGTAATATATTATTCAGATATAACATGTTAAGTGGTGCTTATTCTGTACTTGGCCAAGCATACAAATATCTACTATGTCTGTAACACAAGTGTCCTGTGAACAAAGCTTTTCTATATTAAAATTAATTAAAAGCAGGCTAAGATATTTATAAGTATCTCGCAAGAATATCTAGAAGCCTTCATGTTAATGTCAGTGAAGAAAGATTTTTTAAACGAAATACATTCTGATGATATCATTAATATTATTGCTCAACAAAGCAAACTTCTAAATAAAAAATTAATGTTGTAGAATATAGACTTGTGCTTATTGTAATTTTTTGTCAATGTTGTATTTTGAATATATTTAAATATAAATAGAAAAAAATACATTTTTTTTATTTATGGGCTGGGCTGTTAATAAATTTTCCACACAAAACTTTTAGGGCCAGTCCGCCCCTGGTTAATGTCATATACAGTAGAGCCTCGAAAACTCGGCTCTCGATAACTCGGCACTCCGGATAACTCGGCGACACCCTGGCAGGGCAAAAAAATCCTTAGTTGATTAATTTTTATGGTAAAGACAGCTTTATGCCTCATAAAGTATCTTTCTGAGGTCTGTCTTATCAGGTAAATTACTGTACACAGTGTATTCATTAATTTTCATTTTCATGTAGTAAAGGCTCTATGCCTTCATAAAAGACGTACTTTTCCTTTATTTAAGGGTATTTGGGCAGTTTATTCTCTGTTGTATTTTCAAGTAAACTATACATACAAGTACAGTACAGTATTTTCTGAGGAAANTTACCAATATTTTAGAGATTCTAGGGTCAAAAATAGCTTAAAATCTTCTATATATGTTTTTCAAATTGTACTTCATTTTTGAGTTCTGATCTGCCAAAAAATCATATCGAAAACCAATTTTAAACCTCTTGCCAAAATGATAACATTGTTTGTTTTCCACTTCAGCGTTTCCAACAGACACAAACTGAAGCTTTATTTTAAATGTTGGAAATTGTTTTTTTTTTAATACATGGAAACTGAACTTATACTAGTATTCAGCTTCAACTATTTTTATAAAAGTAAACATTCACTTCTGCAGAAGACATTTTTAGTCATTCTTGTAAATTATTCTATTTAATTTTGTAAAAAAACAAAATGTTATATAAAGTAAATTTATATTGAAAAACTTGTCAAGTTCCAACTCCTTCACCTCTTATAAAAACAAAATGGCTCCTGAAACAAAAAAAAAAAGCAGGTTGGAGAAGGAGTTGCTGAGAAACAATGTTTTCGGGAAGAGAAAAAAATTTTGGGCAAGGAGAAGAGAAGCTATCCCAGAGACTGATGGTATGTGGCAGACTGTGTGGTGGATTGGTGTCATTTGTGTATGTTAAAATGTGTTTTCTTTTGTGTTGAGAAATAAATGTGTTTACAAGGTTCTAGTGCATCATCTGACTTAATTAATGGACCAGGACTATCAATTCTTGCTTCCCAACTTTGTTTTTACTATAAAGCAGGTAGATTCTGAAAGATCTTATAGTGTATTAGGCTTTGTCTACCTTTATTACAGTAGGGCCTCCTTGGGCAACATTTACTTACCTCAATCTATTGACAGAAGCATAAAAATATAGAAAAATTTCTTTAAAAAGTTTACAATTCTAGTGTTAAAACTTTGGCAGGGAATTTGAAAAGTACAGACCAAATCTGAAAAATGAAACAAAACTTCAAAAACGTTTGTAGAGGATTTTAACTTATTTTGTATCTTAGAATCTATCCCTAAATTATTGACATAGAATTTTTTACATCCTGTATATTAAAATGGCATAAGGCAGCTTTTACAAAAAAATAAATAAAAAAAAAAGTGATATTTGTACAGAGATGATGTTTATATAAAATAATAAACTAAAAATTTACTTATTTATAGTTCAATTTTAGAGTTCTACTTAACAACTATTATAAAAGTTTGCTATGTTGCCAATTCTCTCGGTCAACATTCATTAGAATACTTTACACATAAGTACTTTAAGACATTGCCTATTAGCCTAATTACTTTAATATTTTGTATCTGTAAACGCTAACTTCATTAATTTAAGCCTTAAAACACTTTAAGCAGTCTAGTCTGAACAGGTATTAGTTAATTGTGTTATCTGCTACTTCTGACATTGGTCCAATAACAATATTTATATTGTATTGTTTTAAATATAGTTTTAAATTAATTACATCATTCTACTGAGATATTTGAATACAAATATAAAAAGATTGAAGGTATAAAGTAACTGTATGGTAACAATAACTAAAATCTCTGCATATAAAGTGCTACATCTTCCAACATTATAGTAAACACTGTAGGTGAAAAATTATATCAACTTTAGATCATATAATGTATTATTCTAAATTATGACTTTATATAATTTTCATAGTTAAGTAAGGGCTTAATATATTTAATATATGATCTATAGTATCATACATTGAAAGCACTCTGATATAATTTTTCTATATTAATAACCTTTGATCTGCTTTCAATTATTGATTTAATTTAATAGTTTTACTAAGGAATTTATAGTAAAAGTATTATTTACAATAGTAATTTGCTTTACTTATAACATTAATATTTACTTATAACAAAATTAAAAGTATAAAATAAAATATAAATTTTGGAATAAATTAAACTGTATTAAATTAGTTAATATCAAGTTATATTTTTAATGATTCTACAATAAGAATATATTAATAAAAATTAACTTTAAAAAAGTAATCATATAAAACATGAAAACAATTGATTTATTTATAACTGCATTTTTAATTTAAAAAATTACCTATTTTATTATGTTCAAAAATCAATTCAATTAACATAATAGTTACTTTTACTACAAGTTTTACTACAAGTTATTTTTACTATTAGTTTTACATAAAATTACAATAACTACTTGCTGCTTCTGACATTTTACAAAATTTTCTGTAAATTACACTTTCGAATGCATCTCATTCATCTTCAAAGTCAAAACAAAACTTTTGATATTCTAAATTCCACTGAATGCCACTTCTATTTCAAATACCTCATCTACCTTTTCAATATCAGTGAAACAAATCAATGGGAAAGATATCAAAACTTAAAAAAATGGTAAAGAGTAGTGTGATTTGAATAGATCATCAAGAAGCCATTGAACAATTAAGAACATGGAAGTTTCAATTTAAATTTAAATAGGTAGATGAGGTATTCCAAACAGAAGTAGCATTCGATGGAATTTGCAAAGTTTCATTTGGATTATAAAGATGGAAGAAATGCATCTTAAAGTGCTTAGATTACAGAAAATTTTGTAAAATTCCAGCAGAAGCAGGTAGTTATTGTAATGTAACATTTACTATTCCTTCCAATCAAACTAAAATATTTACTTATTTTAACTAAGAAAATTCAAACATTTACAAAATAAAACATAGTATTAAGTAATTTTCAAAGAAATTCCTTTTTTACGAAATAATTATAAATTTAAATAAATTTCTCTCTGCCATTTTAAATTTATTTCTTTTTCTTTTCTTTTTTATTACCATTAATCATTTCTGCTTTTCACAAATCTAAATCTTTGTCCTTGAAAAAAAATGAATTTTATCTTGTAAGATATAATAATTATTTCAAATGAGAATTTATAAATATTGTATAAAGTACAGTTTAGTCTATATAAAAACAAATCAAAAGAATTGAATAAAAAAAAATTACACATATTAATAATATCTGATATAATTTGAAAATAAATTTAAGAGTGATATTATTAATGCCTTATAAAATTACAGAATGTTTGAAATTACCATAATATTAAAATATCAATTAAAATATTGGAAATGTTTAAAAAGAAAAGATCTTTTCGAGAGATTTGAGAAAAAGAAATTAAGAAATAATTATAATAAATAAAATTTTTAATAAATCAATTTTATGAAAAACAAAAATACAAATATAGAAAATACCTATTTTACAAATTTTTAAATGGTATACAAAAATAAATTGATTTGTATAAAGATTTTATGGTCACCTTTTCTATATTTTATTTAGTAGTTTAGCCAACTCATTAAATTATAAATTGGCCATATTTAACATTATTCACTATCAGATTGAAAATTCGGGAAGAAATACATATATATTTTAAATACGTCTGAAGAGCAATACTCACTATTCAATAGTCCTTAAATACTTATCTTAGAGCATTTTTACAGATCTTTTTATGTATTATAATAATAGTTTCAGATATCAGATGATAAGTTTCAAAACTTATCTACGGATCATTCCCTTAAATTTAATAGCTTTAAATAATAAATTTCAAATTTAATAGCTCATATTAAGCATACACTACTGTAACAGAGTACTGTAATAGATAGTCTGCCTTCTATTAATCATAATACAGTAAGCTTTTTCAAGAATATTTTATTAACATAAAAGAAAAAATATTTCCCAATAATTAAAAGATTGAAATGATCATGTATTTAACAGAATCACAAAGCCATTAGTTAATATTTTAATACCGAAATGATATCAGTTATTAGTTATTTATAATTAAGTAATTTAATTACCAGTAAAACAGAATAATGAAGTTTAGGATAACAAATTATTATTTATTAATATTTTTCAATACTTTATAAATTTAAATGTAAAATTTATATTTACAAATGAATAGGCAACAGCTCAGTGTTGATAATTAAATATAAAAATAAACTTACTTAAACTCTTGGAATTCTTTAAGAAGCTGTTCTTCCTTCTTGGATTGCCCAAAGAAGAGAACCAATTTCCTAATTTGTGGCTTCCAAAGTTACTAAAAGTACTACTCTTGTGTAACAGTTTGATATCCATGATGGTTTCGACTAAACTAGGGGCATCAACTTTGATGTCTCGGATCCAGAAACAGATGGGTTGAGTACAACTACACCAGCACACCTTGATTGTCAGTACTGAATCAATTGTCGTAGCAAAAAAAAAAACAAAAGTCTAAATACCGGCGGCCGTTTGATACAGAAAGGCCTTCACTCGGATCAGTGCCACATTGGCACCGATCTGAGTATTAGCCGATTTAACCAATCTATTATGATAACGATCGAATGTAGACGAGTAGAGCCTTTTTTTATAAATAATTTCCGACTTCCCTTCCGAGTTCTTGCTGAGATAATAAGTATCTTCTTCCCCTGTGAAGTCGGACGAACGTCCGTCCGAACCACTGCCGAATAGTTGACTGACTCACCTAATCCAACAACCGGAATAACCGACTGGAACGACTGGTCGATTGCCTTACGTCAGTAATGACGTCGGCGGTCGATGTTTACAAACTTGGTGATGAAAGAGATTTTTCTTTTTACACATATCATTCATAGTTTTTATTGATAGGCGTATTTAAATATATAATTATTTCGAAATAACTCTTATGATTACGTGCTAAAAATAGATTTTTTAGCCATTTATATTATAATAATGATATTATCAATTAATAACCTTTCAAATATTTTTAATATTCATCTTTAAAATAATGTTTCTAAGTGTTTACGGGATATAAAATACAATATATTTTAAATGAATATAGTACTTTAGCGGATTATTAAACTTAGAAACGTTACCGTAATAGAAACAATGAGAATGAATGAGTGGATAGAATGCAATTTTTTTTTATTTGTTTATTGTTATATCTTTTTTCATTCAATTTATGTCTCATAAAGACAGATTGTTGTTTCATTATTTTATGAAGGCTAAAGTGAATTGTCTCTTATCACTGTGCTTATTCATATATATTTCTTTATCGGGGAGGTGGTTTAGGGTCATTTCCGGGAGAGAAATGGACTTTTGTATAACCGTGAAAATTTCCTACATAAAAATATTTCATTACACAAATAAATGTGCAATAACCTTGAAATTCCGTTAAGTATATATACTGAAAATTATGTAATTATATCCTGTAAATTTCTTATAAAAATTTCGATTTTTTACCAAATTACATGGGATAAATAATTTGTCTCTCAGAGATATTTCATGTCTAATAAAAAAAAAAGTAAAAATTTAATTATAAATTAATTTGCAACTTTTAATTAAATTAATACGGGAAAATATAAATTTTTAATATTCCTTAACGCATAATTTAATTGCAAATATTATTTATAAATTTGTAATTAAATTCTGTAGCTAAAGTTTTAATTTCGTAAGTTATTTTGGTAAAAGTGTTCATAACTAAAAACAAAATAATCATCATAAAAATAATAAATAAGATTTAATTGACAGTAATTAAACATTTTAGGATAAAATAATTTGAGAAAATTATTCACTTTTTATAAAAACTTTTTACAGGTCTAATAAAGTCTTTAAAAAACGCACATTTACAATGGGAGTGTATCTATGTATTTAATCGATAATAGGAAATTTAATAATGATCACCGACGACCTTGACCTAATTTTGGGGGTCACGCAATCACTGACTTTTTAACCATTGAAGATAAGGAGAAAAATTCAAATTACATGAGTTATAAAAAAGAGCCCAGTTATGCATAGAACAAATCTCATTTCAAGCATTCAAACGAAAACTACCAAGAAATCCTAAAGGATTATGGCGACGCCTTCGTCCCACCGTTCATAAGCGTTTGAGATGATAACTGCAATGTTGTTTTGCATCACTTGCGTAACGATAAAGGCAGATTACATCTTTCAGAATATTTCAACCTTTAAAAATTCCTTCATATCATTCATCAAAAATTAAAAGTATAACATTAACGTAAGAGCGACTCATCAGCCACGCTGATGTTATACACTATAAAAGGTAAAAGACGGTCGTTTTCAATCATTTTAATTAGCATATTTATAACGAGAATTGCGCTTAACAGTTCTTTTCCTATATCTTGTAATTTGAATTTTTTTTTCTTTACTTTCTTCCTACATTAAATTTGGTAATTGCTTAACTTCGAAATTCAGGTCATCGTTATCAATTTAATATGTAAAAATTTTCCCATTTCTCTATTTATTCTCTATAATATATATAAGCATTATATACTGTATTTCTAAATTAAAATAATTGAAATTTTATTTTTATTTTTTAAATATATCTAAAATAATTATGAGCCAAATTACATATTAATCTAAAAGATAAATATGACCTAAGGTATATTGATAACATAGACTTACATTCGTAAATATGATATATAAACTTAGATGTATTAAAATTCATGTATTATTATATATCAGCAAGCAGATATACGATTTTCGAGTAGATGAGCATATCGTATTTTTCCCAGAGTCTTATATAAAGATACAAAAATAAATTGATTT